AGGCCTGCGCGCCGGGCGTGACGCACGGCTTGCCGTCCCGCACCAGCACCGGCACGGCCACGCGGCGCGGCGGCGGAGGGGGCGCGTGCGCGCCCAGCTCCAGGGACTTGTCCTGCCGCTGTCTCTTGCACTTGTACCTGCGATTCTGGAACCAGATCTTCACCTGCGTGGACGTGAGCTTCAGGCTGCTGGCGAGGTGCTCGCGCTCGGGCGCAGACAGGTACCGCTGCTGCTTGAACCTGCGTTCCAGCTCGAAGACCTGGGCTTGCGAGAAGAGGACCCGGGGCTTCCGGCGGCTGCGCGGCTTCGGCCTCTCGCTCTCCTCCGCCGCCTTGCTGTCTCCTGCCGCCTCCAGGGACTTGTTCAGCTGGCAGTTTTCTGCAGGAGAAGGAAAACAACAGCGTCACTTAGCTGTTCTGACCTCACCGCGCCTCAGTCCCCGGAGCACTCTTACCCCTCTTTGGTTGCAGCCCGGAGCATGCGGTAGTAATGCCTGGACTTTGGGAAAGTTTGTGGCTCCTGGCGCCATGGACCCCCGGGACAGCCTGGGCACCCTCGAACGCCCTTGGCGGGCGAAGGCGGGTTCCGTGAGAGGGGTAGTTAATGCGCAGTGCGCGTGTATTAGAACTTGAGCGTCTGCGAGGGGAGAGATTACTCTGTATTAAATACCTGGCTTGGCGAACTAATGACTGTTTTCAGAATGAAAGTATGTAACTACATAATCACTACAATATTTGCAAGCTCCTTTACTTCTGCTCTGCCACGGAGAGCTGAAGGTGTGAGGCGTGTTGTATTTGGGGGCTGGTGTGTATGGGCTTCGCGAAAATCTCGCTGGTGGGAAATGGCAGCGTGTAACGCTTGGGCGTTGCTCCCTGGACAGTATTTCTTGCTTTTAAAAGAGTACCCACCTGCACATAGTCATATGCGTGCATGATGATGTCTGTTACTTAGGGAGAAAAGGTGTCTGATTGATTGACCGATTTACAGTTCCATGTCGATTTTCGGCCCAGGGGAGCTGTCAGAACAGTCCTTGGCCTCTGCCACACCAAACCTCCTGGGAAAAGCAGTTCTTTAACTGTCCCCTCAGAAACATTTCCTCGGGGCTTTACTCAGTTATCTGATCCTCTTCCCTAAATTACCTCCCGTCAGATGTGAGTGGCCCAGACCTGGCCTAAGTGCGGCGCATTTGCTACTCGGCCCGCAGCCCAGCAGCCTGGGACACAAAGCAAGACGTTATGATTAAAAAAAAAAAAAAAAAAGTTGCGTCAGGGGCGTCAGTGGCACGGTCGCGCAGAAAGGACTGTGTTCCCACGCCATTCTGACCACCCCCTCCGGCGGGTGCGAGGGTGCTGAGCTCCGGGCAAAGAAGTGCGGAAACCACTCAGCTGGCCGTGCTTGGTCAAGTCCCTGCGCGCCCTGGATGCTGGGGAAAGAACTTGCTTGGATGGTCTTTTCAGAGAAGATGGGGCGCCTGCCCTGGCCTCAGCGGATTTGCCTGGAGCTAGGTGGGGACGTGAGAAGGGTTCGGGCTTCTGCTCCTCTAGCTCTTGGGACAATCCCAGACAGTTGTCAGGCCCCAGCAGCTGAGCCCGTGTCTCTTACCATAGGGCAGCAAGTCTACCTTCCCTTCCCACGGGGGCAGCCTCCCCTCCCCTTCTCTGTGGGGAGTGGTTCTCAGGGGGGGTCACCTCGTCCTTCTGCCTCCGCCCGGCTCCCTCGCAGGTACCTGCGCTTTGCGGAGCTGTCGCTCAGCCAAGGGCTAAAGGGGCGGGCAGCCGTGCTGGCAAGGTTTGTGGGCTGATTGTGGGCGCTTCGCCATTGCTCCAGATGTGCGGGTGCGTTTCCTTTCCCCCTCTACTCACTTTGGCTCCGGTCCCTCACGACCTCGGGCTCCTCTTCGTGTTCCTTGGGCCCGCTGCACGAGTCGCGCAGGACCGTATGGACATAGCTCTGGGGACAGAGCCCTGAATCCCCGTGGCCGTCGACCGCGGTTAGTGAGTTCAAATAGGACAGTTTCTCTCCGTCTTCTTCCTCGTCCTCCTCCCCTCCGTCAGAAAACTGCGCCCCCTCGGCTGCGGCCAGCATGCAGGGAGCCGAGTGGAAGCGGTGCTCCGAGTCCGCCTGCAAGTGCGCGCCGTGGAAGAGCTGCTGCTGCTGCTCCAGATTCAGAATGTCTTTGACTGAGAAAGGGGTGGAGGTGACCGGGCTTGGTAACATCATCAGGGCCACTTAATTGTCCAGCCCAAATACTCAATAAATCCCGGCGGGGGCGGAGAGGCAGCGCGGCGGCTCCAGCTCTCCTCCTGGACTCCGCCGCTGCTGCCCCGTCGGGCTTTTGACAGACGCGGTCTGGCTCCAGTCTAAATCGCCTCCATTGGCCGAGACCTGGGGGTCTGGGTTTTGTTACAGCCACTGCAGGGACTGGGGCCGGGGCTGCGATGCCTCTGTCCGCGGGCCGTGCGTCACGTCGGGGGGCGGGGCCCGCTCTCCGGCCTCTCTCCCCATTGGTTCCAGCTCATGTGGACCACGCCCCCCGCGTCCACCGGGTGGCGTGTCGCAGTGCTCGCAGAAATAGACAAGGGGCTAAAACAGAGGGGCAAAGTCCGAGCCGCTGCGGCGAGGCTGCACAGACCCGAGTACCAGCACCACCGACTCCAGCTCCGCCTGGTGTCTCCTTCGCGGCCTGGGTCAGTTCTGCGAACCACTCCCAGAAGGATGCTTCAGGAGGGTGGTTTTCCCGAGGCCTTGAGGGTAGGAAAGCCCCTGGCCTATAAATACTGGGCGCTGTAACCACAAGGAGACGGAATGGCATATAGGTATGATGGGCAAAGTGGCCGTTCCTGCCTTATTGTCTTAGCTCAAGCCTTTCCCTCCAACTAGAACATCTTCCCCACTTTTGCCTCCGTGAGTCGAAAGCTGTTCCCCAAGGCTTTGCTCAAATACCACCTCCTTTAAGAAAGCGCTCCCTGACCACCTAGTAGGAAGTCATCTCTGCTGCCTCTGAATCTGCAGCGCATGCTAGCAAAGGACATTCGCATTACTTATCACTTCCACCCTTGGTCCATAGCTGGATGGGCCTGTTTGGTCGTCCCTGGTAGCCTGTGAGCCCCCTGGGGGCAGGGTCCCTGTGGCATTTATCCTTGTGCCCGTTACAGCGGCCGCACTGAGGAGGTGTGTGCAAGAGAGGCGTTACAGACCTTTGGTCTTTGGTTCCAGCCTTGGCCTAGACAGTCTGTGGCCTTGGCATTCCTAACCTCAGTTTCCTCGCCTAAAGAAAGGAGATAGTAATGTCTACTTCAGAGTTATTGCCAGGGTTAAACGAGGCAAAATATGCCGAGAGCTTGATGCTCAGTAAATGTCAAACCTAAAAACCCATTGCTACCAGTTGATCCTAACTCATAGCGACCTTATAGGACAGAATAGAACTGCCCCATGGGGTTTCCAAGGCTATAATTTTATAGAGGCAGCCTGCCTCATCTTCCTCCAGTGGAGTGGCTGGTGGGTTCAAAGCAGAGCTCTTCATCACTGCGCCACCAAGGCTCCATCAACACATGCCAGCTACATCTATGTTGTATTTTCTTGCTGCATTGGTGGTAGAGTGGCTGGCGTGCCCCACAGACTCGGCGGCCTCATGCAGTCTTGAGAGCAGGCTGCCTGTGCAGGGGAAGATATGCAGCCAAGGCGCTTCTCTTCCGCCTACTCAAACCGGCCGCCTGGGTCCAGGCCTTGACTCTCTGAGGTGTTTTTCTAACTTCTCCCACTCGAGTGCCTTCTGCCGTTCTCGTGCGCCCTGGTTGTTTTCTGGGCGAATCGATGGGGTCCTCCAGAGATTCTGGAAACCCTGCGCTGGTGAGGATCACCTTCTTCCCGCGCAAAAGGCGTCCGCCGGCCAACCGAGTCTAGCCGAGGAGCAACTGGCGGCGCCGCGAGGCCCGCCAAAGACCGCGCGTGCAGCGCTGACGCAGAAAGAGCAGGAACTGGTTCAGGCCCAGCAGCGGTCCCTCATCCGGCCTTAGGCAGCCGGAGCATTTGTTGGCGGCCAAGATGGCAGAGCTGGGGGAGGCCGGCCTCGACTGGAAGGGGCGAGTGGACAACGCCCCCGGGTGGCGGAAGATACAGGATGAGAGTGAGGGTGAGAGCGTGGGGCTTCCGCGCGGTGCCCGGCAGTGGCGGGACGAGTAGGGTGCCCAAGACCAAGGAGAGAACAGCCTGTTGGGAGGGGGGAGGGGCGGGGCTGTCGCGGAGGGAGCGGAAACTGTGCGGGGAGTCAGCCCGGGGGCCGCCTGGGGAGCCCGGCTGCAGCTGGGCCACGTGCGCCCGGGAGTACTTGGGGTGGCAGCAGCCCGCGGGCTGTGGGGACAGACCTTTTGTGGGCTAGGCAGCCACAGAGGTGCCAGTGCCTTTCTGCTTTAAAGTCAGAGGCTACTGATTGACACCCCAGGCGGAGGCCGAAGTCTCCAAACCAGGCTGCAGAGGGAAGAGTGCGCCCGGTTTTCCAGCGGATCCCGAGCGCTGAGACGCGAAGATTCCGAAAGAGGTGGGGGTGAGTGCGCGGCTGTGGGGTGGGGGGACCCTGAGTGTGTGCGCGTGGGGCCGGCAGGCGAGGGTGAAAGGAGGAGGCGCTGCTCCAGCCCCTCTCTCCCTCCCCCAGGGCAGGACCGTCGAGGAGAACGGTTTCTGGCCCCCAGATTTCCTTCTCTTTGTGTTAATGTACACACGATTCTGTAAACAGGAAAAACCAAAAGCTATCCAAACGGTCTTTCCAACCGAAGCCTTCATTTCTCCTTGCTACCGTCTCTTGCTTCTTGGCGACGCTCGGTCCTAGGCCATTTCTAAGCCCAGCCCAAGGACCTTGGTCTCAACCGCGGCGCGACAAGGCCCTCCAGGTCGCCCTCTCGCTGCTCACACTGTAGGCTGTGCTTTGGCCCCGTTGGCCCACGAGGTCTCCTTCCCCACCAAAAGCTGCGCAACCACTACCCAGCCAGGTAGCCTTGGGCCAGGCCTGAACGGTTTTGTCTTGGCGGCCACTGGCCAGCGTGCGCTGCTGCAGCTGTCCCTGGACGCAGCCCACGCGATTCCCATCCCGCGCGTTTCAGACCCCGCTTTTCTCTCCCTACCTCCAGCCCTGGGTCAGGCTGGTCCAGCGCCGGGGAGACTTCCGCCCGCTGCCGGGTTCCTCAGCTTGATGTGTGTCTTACCGCCGTGAGCTAGGGCTTGGGTCCTCTCCGGCTGCTCATTCTGAGTCGTCCAGTCTCCTTTTGGTCCGTCTGGCTTCCCGGCAGAGAAGCTTCCCAGCCAGGATCCCCGCCAGGTCAACTGGGTCCAGGCGGCCTCCCTTGCCTGTGTCCGCTGCGGGACGCCGGTGGGCTTGTGTGTCGCCAGCTGCGCGCGGTTGTGGACGAGGAAAACGCCAAGTGCAGTAGTTACAGCACAGCGGCGCGCTCTTCTCAGGGAGTCACTTATCAGAGTGTGGAATCTGGTTCTAACGCGTATCCAGTTACGATCGCCTTCTGGGGCATTTGTATTCTCTTGTCTGAAGGGGGGATCTTTGAAATTCTGAGCTGTGCTCCACTCATAATAGGTCTTCGTTCTCGACAGTTTAGCTAATTACTGTCAGATAAAGTAAATATCGTTGCAGTCACAGCAGCGTTTGATTTTATTTTAATCGACTGCATCTGCCTAGGTATGCTGTCACATTATACACTTAGGCAAACCCTCCCATCGGATATATGATTAATGATCATAATAAAATCGTGGTGAATTCCGTGAGTGGGAAGTGCTACATAGATGCGTGAATGATCAACAGAATTAGTATGCCTTTTTTTTTTTTTTTAGAAAAGCCACGTGCTAGGTAAGCATTGCAACGAATATATTATCAAATAAAAATGTGATAATGCTTTGAAAACTGTAAAGCGTTTGCCAAGTTATTATTCCACACAAACATTGCTAATTTAATATAAATATAGTCAGCTAATCGATAATTTTAGTTATATGTGCACTGCTTATGTTGCTGTCTCCCTATTATCCAAATAGTCATTTAATGAAGTAACCAAGCCCACAAAAAAGTTGAAAGTTACTAGGGCACCACAATCAGCTAAGTGATGATGATGATAATTTTGGGTAAAGCATGAAAGACCACCTTGAAGGAACTCAGCCAAAACTATATAGTACATTTCAGGTGAATTTTTGTCGTCATTTTTTGCTACTCTCCTAGAAATTTTATTTTCATTGATATTTTCCATAATAACAATAAGAAGAAGAGAGAGAGAAAGTGTCCTCTTTAACCTAAGAAATAGGTTTTTATTGTTTTGCTGTCGTTTGTGGTGGCAGTCGTGTGTCTGTTTTAGCTTAGTTTTTATTTTAAAGATGCTGGAAAACTATCCACAAATGTTGGGCCATTAATAGGCAATGTGTTTTAATTGTGAGAGCATGAATAAATTTTCTATTTTTAAAGAAATGTCAACCAGGCAGATCAGTTCCAGAAAGCATTAAACCGATCTTATTTCTTGAGAGGATTTTTTTCTTTCCCTCATGGTGGTACTTTCGTGAGAGATTTTAATTTGTGATTTGAACTTTTTGGTTTATTTGTTGTGTGCTTTTACAAATGCCAGGTTGTTGTCCATTTTGCCTAGAACTGAATTTTCCGAAGAACCCACCATTTCTCTGGGAGAAAAATTAGTCCAAGTTCAATAACGCGCAGAGTTTTGTATTAATTACAAGCCTTGGCTGAGAAAGCCAGTTTCGATTTCTCAGAAAGAGGACCTTGCTCATCTATGTACATCTACTCCCCTCCAAAAAACTTAAAGATAAATGTGAAAACAACTTTCCTCACTATAACACTTCTATTCTGCCAACAAAACACAAGTCAGAAAGGCTAGCTGTACCTTTTTCAAATGAAAATCAATTTCAGTAATTTTCAAACAGAAAAGCCTGTATATAGACATTTTTGGGTACTATTTGTGTGTGCTGTTTGGGAGTGCAGTGAGCAGTTTTAACTTGGGGATTAAATTGGAATTCTGAATGCATTCCTTACCTTTTTTTTTTTTAAGTGTGACTTTAACTTCCTGTAGCGAAATTTCAATGTCTATAGACCTTTGAAAATATGATCTGACTTCAGAAGAGTGGCTGCTGTCTTTGGGAGTGAATTCCATGAAACCAGCGTTTATGGAGTGCCCGCCTGCTCTGTACCGATCAGTGTGCCTGCTTAGAGGGGGCTGAGG